TAATTAAAAGTGTTATATAATATCAGTATCATTTAACAACGCTCCTGCTTAGCAACCAAAATGTTGGTTCAGAAACTGGCATTTGAAGCACACAAGTCTTAAAGCTATCAAGTTACAAGACCCTTGCACCCCTAACCCTTTAGAAAGAAAAACCCAGGGGTCTTCAAACCTGACAGCTTTAAGAGTTGTGGACTTCAACTCCCAGAATTCCTCCAGTAATGTTGCAGCGACATCATCTGCGTGGATCTGCTCCATCTTTGGTTTTTTTCACAGGGGCAGGGCTGCCGCTGAAAATGCCCCCGCCGCCACTAGAATAACTACTGCCGCCTCCTCCGCCTCCTCCAACAGTACCACCACATTTGCTGCCCAGTGCTGCAGCTGAGGTGAAGCTGCCAAAGCTCCCGCTGGCGCCCCCACCCATGGCAGCGGCGGCGGTGCCTCCCCCCTCTGCTCGGAACACCTCAGCTGGGCATCGCGTTACCCCTGCCGCCGCCTCCACCTCCGCCGTGCTTTTGAGAAGCCATGAGGCCTTCTTTTCCTGCTCCCGCCCCCTCCGCCGCCTTCCTACTAGCTCCCGCGGCCTCATGGCACTTCAAAAGTACGGCGGAGGAGGAAGGGGGAGGGATAACGTGGGGGCCAGCTCAGGTGCTCCGCGTGGAGGGAGAGGCACCGCTGCCACGGGCGGGGATGCTGGCGGCTTCACCTCAGCCGCAGAGCTGGACGCAAATGGCTAGGATTGGCCGCCCACAAAGGACCTCCCCGCCAGGCTTGCTTGGCTGAACATGGGGCGATTGATGCTAGCTTGAGCAGCCGCGGCTGGCACAAACTACCATCAGTCGCTCCGTGCTCATCAAAAGAAGTCTGTGGAGGTCCTTTTCGGGCAGCCAGTTCTAGCCGCCTGCAAAGGACTTCCCCGCGTTTGCTTTGCTGAACACGGGGCGACTGACAGTAATGAGCGGCGCAGCCGGCACCTAGGAGGTCCTAGGAGACTGGCTGTGCCGTGTAAGCTCCTGCCGCCATCCCCGCGCCTGTGCTAACCTTAGATTTTCTGACGCCCCTCAGCTTCCAGAGCCTGTGACAGAAATCATTGCGCGGCAGTTAGAAACTGCTGCGCGGTGTTTTCTTGCCATTAGAGGGAACAGTGCCTTTGACCACGCCTCGCTTTGCCTCTATAATCCCTCTATAATCCCAGATTAAAAACTCAGTCCACCCAGTGAGGACTTGGTTTTGGGGAGTTCCTCAGTCCTAGAGCAAATAGAGTGTACTTCCTATCATAAGCATTTTCTCTCACCAATTCATCCCTCAAGACCACTCGTCGGTTAGACAGCTGACTGCTAGCCATTGCGGAACGTCTTACATCTGCTTATCGTTGCTGAGGGGGTGCTTATGCAGCTGGCTGTTACAGGAGGAAGCGTGAGTCATTTGCCCGGCACTGCCGGCGAACGGTGGGGGGGAGGAGGTCTCCCTTGCCTGTCCCCTTCGGCTCAGGGCGCTTCCTGATAGCACGGAACCTCTTGCTGTCTCGATCGGAGCGCAGAGGGCCTTCCTGGGTCTGTCGCCGTTGCGCTGGCCATTTTGGGATTCGTGTGCTTTTCGCTGGCAACAAGGGCAGAATCTGCGCATGCAGCAGTGGCCATTTTGGAGGAGCCTTTCCACAGCCGCGTGTAGACGGTGCGAGTCAGACGTGTCTACGGGACTGCAGCGAGTCAGGAAAGCGGTCTCCATTGTTGCTTGTTTGGAACCGCTGCGATTGGGGGGCTGCTGCTCCTACACCCCAGCAGCATTGCGGATCGCCAGCCAGGAGGCCAGGGACCTGTCTGGGGCGCCAGAAGGTCGCATTCTCCCGCGTTGCACCAGCCGGAGGGCTGTGGACAGCCTGAGGAGGGGCCTAATCCTGCGGGCGCCCCTCTCCTCTATGATCTGCGGGCGCCAGTAGCCGGCTGGCTTGCGCCCTATCCAGCCTACTACGTCAGCTCCCCTTTCCTTGGCTGAGCCACCATGCCAGACAGAGGTTTGGAGCTTCAGGAGGCCCAGGCAGGGCCTTCAGCCAAACGAGCCAGGCTGGATAACCCGCTCAAAGGGGGGAAAGGGACCAAACGCCCTTCTAGCAGCACCCTACGGGACCTTCTGAGGGCGATAATCATAGTGATAGCGCCAAACACTGCAAAGGGGAGGTTTCCCTGTTTCACGGGAGCATCTTTCATCCCCTGAATGCAGAGAGGCACCTGATCCCACCCCAGGGCAGAGGCCTGAGCAGGGCCCTGTTTCCCCCAGGGCGAGCAGGTCACCCTCATCAGCAGCAGAATTATCCAGGGATTCCTCCCCTGCAGCTTCCTAGGGTTACCCAGATTCCCCCAGTTTGTCCCTGAGGGAGGAACTGGCTCCCTCACAAGTTTCTTTACCTTCTGATGAAGACTCCAACCCCAGAGCCTACAGAAGCCGCGGGGTCTCCAGTAACGCTCACCGCAGGGGAAAGAACAAGTCGGGCCTGTCCGCAGAGATGAAGGAGGTCATATCTCAGGGCATTGCTGAGGGCATGAAATATCGCACTGGTACAGCGGCCCCGCCTAAACCTAAGCAAGGGTCCAAGCCGCCCCCTGAGCAGGCACCGGCCTTCCCCAGTACTTCGGTGGCCATTGAGGAGTCAACCCTGGAAGAAGGGGAGGTGGAGGACTTCCAGTTGTCGAAAGACGAGGACCTCCCCCCAGACAAACCGGCTTTCACTGGCCTTTTTAAGCCTTCCCTCTTTAAGTCCATCTTACATAAGGCGAAGGCGGCCACAGAGTTAGGGACCACTCCTAACAGAGTTAGGGACCTGTTCCTCTTCTGGAACATCTGGCACCAGGGACAACAAGGAGGCCTCTTTAAGGAACCAGCTTCAACATAGGAATTCATTCCAGTGCCAGAGCTATTCATGGACGTGGTCCAGAGGCAGTGGATTCAGCCTGAGACCTTGACCAACCCGGGTGGGGGTGACACGATCATATACACCATTGAGCCAAAATTGGAGGAAGCCCTGAAGCTGCCTGAGGTAGATGCTCCGGTGGTATCCCTGACCTTTATGTCCAACCTGCCAGCGGACCTTCTAGAAGGTCTAAAAGCGGAGGATAAAAAGTCAGAGAAGGCATGCCTAAAGACTCACCAGACGGCCGCCTGGGCCATTAGGGCCTCCACCTCTGCCTTGTTTTTCATACGGTCCTCTCTCCTCTGGCTGAGACAATTGAGATCCAGTCCCCGCCCCGGGGGATCTCGATGGAGGCACGAATTGACAAAATCATCACAGCAGTGGAGTATTCCTCTGATGAGTCCTTGAACGCGGCAAAATTCGCATCCCGGGCACTGGCTTCTAACGTTACTTCTCGCCGCCTGCTCTGGCTTCGCCACTGGCAGGCGGAGATGAAGGCAAAGTGGAAGTTGGCATCCACTCCATTCAAAGGGGGTCTCCTCTTCGGAGACGCCCTGGATAAATTCACCACTGAGACCAAGGACAAGAGAAAACTCTGAAAAAGGCTGATCGCAAAGGTTCTGGCTCTTTTCGGAGGCAGTCCTTTCGGGCACAAGATAACACCAGCCTTCAACCTCTTCTTCCTACCATAGGTCCTACTCTCAGCAGGGTGATAGGGGTCAGGACAGAGGCTCCTTCGGAGCACGAGGTAGGCTCATTTCGCAAGCCCTTTCGAGATGGCTCCAATTCCCGAAACTTCTGTAGGGAGAAGTGACCACCACAGGGATCCCCCCATAGGGGGTCGGTTGCAGTTTTACACCGACAGGTGGGGGGAGATAACCTCAGACAGGTGGGTGCTGAATACCGTCAGGAGGGGTCTCCTTCTAGAATTTCTGTCATTTCCCCAACGAACATTCATCCGTTGCCCATCTCCCAGGAGCCCCCTAAAAAGAGGACTCATGCAAGCAGAGATCCGCCACTTGGTCCAGATATGGGCCATAGAACCGGTCCCCAAGGATCAGGAGAAACAAGGGTTTTACTCCATTCTGTTTCAAGTGCCCAAAGCATCAGGGGGATGGAGGGCCATTCTCGATCTGAAGCGCCTAAACCTCCATCTGGCATACCGGAGGTTCAAAATGCAATCCCTCCACTCCATACTGGATTGCGTAAGATGAGGCAATCTCCTCACCTCGATAGACTTAAAAGATGCATATCTTCACGTCCCCATTTATCCAGCCCACAGAAAGTTCCTGAGGTTCTTCTTTGAAGGGGAGCACTACCAATACTGAGCTCTCCCCTTTGGGCTGTCCTCAGCACCCAGGACATTCACGAAACTGTTGGCAGTGGTGGCGGCCCACCTCCAGAACCGTCCGGTTCGCCTGGAGTGTTATCTCGACGACATCATAATTCACTCCTCGAGCCAGGTCCAAGCCAGACAGGATGTCCGCATCATCATCAGAACACTCCAACAGCACGGCTTTTCAGTGAACCAAAAGAAAAGCCACCTAGAGCCGACTATGTGAATACAACACCTGGGGGTCATACTGGACTCGAACTCTTGTCAGGTTTTCCTCTCGCCAGAGCCGCTGAAGACTCTTCGGGACAGAGTGCGCCTTTGCAGCGCGGCCAGGTCGGTGCAGATTGTCCAGTTTTCTCAACTTCTGGGCATTATAATTTCCTGCCTGAAGGTAGTTCCCTGGGCTCGTCTTCACGCCAGGGAACTGCAATGGTTCCTCCTGCCCATGCAAAGAACGAGGACCAGCAACTCGCACAGACGAGTGCGAGTTCCCCCAAAGGTGATCCGCTCTCTATCTTGGTGGAAGACCAAGGCGGTGGAGAGGGGGTCCTGTTCAAAGAACCAAAGAGGATTGTCATGACCACAGATGCCAGCCTTCAGGGGTGGGTACTCATTGCCAAGGCCAGCTAGCTCAAGGATTGTGGAGCCAGAGGGAGTCTTCCCACAGTATAAACTGGCTAGAGCTGAGAGCGGCCAAGCTAGCTCTTCGTCAGTTCTCCCCTCAGATTGCGGGCCATCACGTGCTGTTGCTCACCGACAATGTGGCAACAAAGGCCCACATCAACAGGGAAGGTGGCACACACTCCAGATCACTCATGACGGAGGCGGAGGCTCTGGGCAGGTGGGCGGAGTGCCACTTGTTTTCCATCAGGTCGGACCACATTTCCGGGACCAGCAACCAGAAGGCGGACTAATTGAGCCAGCAGACGATCAACCATTCAGAATGGCGACTAGACCCAGACATCTTCAACCAAATTGTACAGAGGTTCAGCGAACCACAAGTCGACCTCTTTGGCACTCGCCACATCACCCAGCTGACTCATTTCTATTCCCGCTACCGGTCTCCAGGGGCGGAGGGGACGGATGCCCTGAGGTGCAAGTGGCCTCCACGGCTACTGTATGCGTTCCCCCCTCTACAGCTCATTCCGCAAGTTGTGACCAAGCTACTGGAGGAAGAGGCGGAGATCATGCTAGTGGCACCCCATTGGCCCAGGAGGTCCTAGTATGCGTACCTTGTCAGCCTCTCCATTCAGAAACCTTGGAGGATTCCTCAGGAGACCCTCTCCCTCAGCTAGGGGGCAGTACTCCACCCAGAGCTTCAATGGCTGCAACTAGCCGTCTGGCACTTGAGGGGCACCTCCTAAGGAAACAGAACATTTCTGACAAGGTCATCCAGACCATCCAGGCATCCAGGAGGCCTTCGTCGACCAGAATATACGAGGCTACCTGGAGAGCCTACTCCACCTGGTACCAAGGGAGGGGATTGCAGGACACAGAGGTCTCTATACCTCAGTTACTAGACTTTCTACAAGAGGGGTTGGATAAGGGCCTCGCCCCCAACACCTGCGATGCCAAGTAGTGGCCCTGTCTACCATTCTCTCCAGAGGTTCCTCCCGCACTCTGAGCCAACACCCTCTGGTTAAGAGCTTCCTGAAAGGGGCCTCAAATATCAGGCCTCCCACGGTATACCGATATCCATCTTGGGACTTACCATTTGTACTTAGGGCCTTGACGGGAGCCCCGTTT